ATGTTGAGCTTCTGTTGCCTTGCATTTTTTTAAAGTATATTTTATTGACTATGCTATTGCAGTTGTCCCAATTTTTCCATTTACCCACCTCTGCCTGGTATGCCACTTCTCTTAAGTAATCCTTCCTTTAGTTCATGTCCATGGGTCATGCATATAAGCTCTTTGGCTTCTCCATTCCCTATACTGTTCTTAATATTCCTCTGTCTATTTTGTACCTGCCAATTATGCTTCTCTTCCCTGTCCCTTCCCCCCATTCTCCTTCTTCTCCCTCCCTGCTGATAACCCTCTGTGTGATCTCCATACCTATGATTCTGTTCCTGTTCTCTTTGTGTGCTTAGTTTTTTATTTTAAATTTCAGTTGTTAGTAGTTGTGAGCTTGTTGTCAATTTAATGTTCATAGTTTTGATTTTCTTTTTTAAAAAAATAAGTCCCTTCAACATTTCACATAAGGGCTTGGTGTTGTGGATGAACTCCTTTAGGTTTATCTTGTCTGGGAAGTACTTTATCTGCCCTTCTATTTTAAATGATAGCTTTGTTATATAGAGTAATCTTCCATGTAGGTCCCTTGCCTTTTATGACTTTGAATGGTTGTTTCCAGCCCCTTCTTGCCTATAAGTTTTCTTATGAGAAGTCAGCTGACAGGCATATGGGAACTCCTTTGTAGGTAACCATCTCTTTTTCTCTTGTTGCTTTTAAGATTCTCTTTTTATCTTTCATCTTTGGCCATTTAATTATGATGTGTCTTGGTGTGGTCCTCTTTGAGTTCAACTTGCTTGGGACTCTCTGTGTTTTCTGGACTGGTATTTCTATTTCCTTCACCAAATTAGGGAAGTTTTCTTTCATTATTTTCCTCAAGTAATCTTTCAATTTTTCTTCTACTGGATCCCTATGATTCTGATATTGGCATGTTTGGAGATGTCCCAGAGTCATCTTATTCTCTCCTTGTTTTTTTGAATTCTTGTTTCTTCATTCTGTTCTGGTTGACTATTTATTGATCTGAACCCCGGCTTCCTTCCCTTCGCTGTTGGTTACCTGTGGATTTTATTTTATACCACTTAGTGTAAGCTTTGTTTCTTCCCTTATGCTTTTGCCATACTCAGTGAGATCTGTAAGCATCCTGATCACACCAGTGTTTTAAAATCTGAATTTGATAGGTTGACTATCTCTAATTTACTTATTAGTTCTTTTACTAGGGTTTTGTTCTGTTCTTTCATTTGAGCCACATTTCTTTGTCTCCTCAATTTAGCAGCCTCTGTGTGTTTGCTTCTATGCATTAGGTAGAGCTGTTTTGACTCCTTGTCTTGGCGTACCTGTTACAATGTATGGGGTGGAGCTTTAGATAATCGCCAGGGTGAGGACAGCCTGTTTCACTGCTTTGTGGCTTTATACGTGGGGGAGGGGTTGAAGAAGGAGCAGTGCTGCCGCCTGACTGCTGGAGGCTTGTTTGGCACTTGCCCCACTTCTAGTCATTTATGTGACTGGTGCCCCTCTAGCTGTTGTCCTGGCGGTGATTCCTAGAGTGGGTGAGTTTGTGTACATTCTAGGACCCTGCAGGCTCTTTAAACAGACTCTCCTGAGAGACTGGCAATTTCTTCTGCTACGCGACCCCCACTGGTTTTTACAGCCAGGAGTTATGAGAATTTATATTCCCAGTTCTGGGACCCTGGGCTATGAGGTCTGGCCTGGATCCTGCTGCCCAGGTGTCCTTAATGTGGGACTGTCCATTCTTCTGGCCATTGCCACTGCCACCTGCTCACTGCAGCCACACAATATCCTCTCTACCTGGCTCCCCATCCGTATTCCTCCTACCTGTCCGGATGAATGTGTCTTCTTTAAATCCTTGGTTGTCAGACTTCCAGACTGTTCTGTTTTCTGGCAGTTGTGGGTGTTTTTGTTTTGAGGTTGGTTGTAGTCCTTTTTATGGTTGTGTAAGGAGGCAGAGTGTATCTGCCTATGCTTCCATCTTGACCCAAAGTCTGTTTCCTTCAAGATATTAAAGTTCTTAAAGTCAAATATCCATTGAAACCAAAATAAAATTAAAGCGTATGTAAATTATTAATTATGTATATTTGAATATATATGTAGAAAATATATTAGACATAAATCAGTGTATATGCCCTTAAGCTCATCTTTTGTAGTCTAATTTTCATGTTACTATTGGCATACTTAAATTATATGCATTAAAAATTGTCACTTGGACTTAATCAACTATTTCTTTTTATTTTTCCATTTTCCAAACATACTCTTAAACTAGAACTTTAACTTTTAATACTTACAATCTGTATTGCAGATCACAATTTATTAAAAAGGGTTTTATAAGCATAAATGGCATATAGGTTTTTATCTGAGCCATTACTCTTGCTTTTATATATTCTTGATTGATGAATTAAAACTTGAGGCTGTTCACAAAACCTCATAAATATGCTAATACTGTAATTAAGAACAGGTAGCATTGCAAATGCAAATTTTTTTGTCTTTTGAAAGAGTCTTTTATTTTTTAGCATTTATAAATGTTTTTTGAAAAATGTTTGGAAAAATAATATTCCTTAGCTTCAAGTAATATATTCTCTGGACAAGTAGATATAAAGTTTTATCTATTTTAACTGGCATAATCTTGATATAAAAGCAATTCTTGTTTTCTTGTATAGCTTGACCTTTAGTTCAAATGAAACTTTTTTAAGCCTTTTTATTTAGAACATTGAGATATATATCTCTACAAGTTACTGCAACTTATTTACTAAACACTTACAAGTCAAGATGCCAGGTTCTTTGCTAGTTGCTAGGAATGTATAGCTGACCATGGTAATGCTTGACTTCAAATATCTTGAAGTCAAATCGAGTGAAAAGAAAAATAAGCTAATCATTACAGTACACTGATAAATAGTACACAGGTCTTAGTAAAGAGTACAACATAAGAACTAGGGACGTGGCCCACTGGTTTCCATTTTAGTTCTGCTTATCTTGGGGGTAACCTATGAACCATTATGTCCTTATCTATAAAATGGACTTAATAGCATTACTTATTTTATGTGGTTATTTTGCTGATCAAATAAATTAGTATGTGGGAAACAGTCCAGTGCCTGGGAAATAGTAAATGGTTTCTGAAACTTGGAGGATTTTTTTTTAGATAGTACTAATGTTGTAGAAGTATATGGTAGCAATTGAGGCCACCAAATGGCCAGGATCTTGAGTAAACTGCCAGGCAATGAATCATTTGGACTGAAATTCCCCAAGAGAAGGTGTTAGGGTGGCAAGAGGGAACAGTTCCTGCTAACCCAGAACAGAGGGTGGTAATGAATGGCAAATATTGGGAACTACTAAAATTATCTGATCAGATTGCAGTTAGTGCCATGTGTAGAGAAAGATTCAAGGGCCAAGTCTGAAGGTCATTCTTTGCTGTGGCAAGAAAGTTGGAGCCCAAGATGAAAGTGATGAAGAAACACTGGGGAAATTTAAGCAGAGGGATGGAGGGCTGTGAACGGGAATTACAGAAACCGCCTCCAGTTTCAGGGAGAGCATTTGGTCAGCCGGGTGAAAAGTGACCAGGGGATCGTGAAATTAGAGGTCTAGAGACCAGTTAGGTTTTTACATTAAACCAGGAGGAAAGTTATGAGTGCATTCACTAAGGCATTTATTTGCTCTAAAAATAATTAAACCCATTAAATTTTCATAGGCAATATTCAAGGATTTATAATCATTGTAATTTGCGTTATATTTATAAAGGATTGGCTGGTATGTTTATTCCTCATGTTTTTATCCAGAAATAGATTTTATATTTAAAAATTATCCATTTTCCATTTAGCCCCATTTAAAAAAAATCTTGCTCTATCAGGCATGATGCATATTATCATATCAATTAGCAATGTGTTACTCTCTATAGGAAGTTGATGCTTATTGGGATGAATTATCATAGTTGATCTCTTCTATAATAGGTAACTTAATCTCTAGTTTGCTCTAATTTGTTTTAAAAATTAATAAATAAAAACTTGATGCAATCTTGAATTGCTTATCAATTGCTTATTGAACACAGCCCATTGTTTCTGAGCTGACTGGTTTCCATTATAACTTCCATTATTTAAGGGTGCTTCTATGTCAGCATTTGGCACAACTGTAGCCTAAATAGTGGTTTGAAAAACCTCTTTCACTTTGTCAGATGAACCTGATAATTTTAGCACATCCCATTATATTTTCACTTTTATTTATCTCAAATATATCAGAATTTGTTAATGGTAGTCTGACATTTGCACCAACATACTAACTTGTCCTTCAGAATAGGAACAAATAAGAAATATCCAGATAAGAATTCTGATAATCCGTGGTAAATCTCACACTATTAATCTACTTCTCCAGCCAAACTCACATAATGTAAACATTTCTGTTGAATCATACATTCAGAATGTTGGTTATTGTTATTTTATAAAATGTAGCATATCTTAATTTTAGGTTTTAGATTTTGGAAATGCGTTCAATGTGCATTTGTGTTGAAGCTCGACTGGATGGAACAGATTGCCATCACTGTTGCTGCAGTTCCAGCTAACTCAGTATTTTAACATTCGTTTCGTCAGTTATTTGAGAGCTCTTTAAAAACATGGGACAAATGAGGATATGACTAAATTTCACCATTAAATGGTCTCTTGACTTTGCAATGGTCCATTATGTTGATAGAAAATGTGATTATTATTGGACAAAGAAATGCATCTGCACGATTTGGTGAGGCGCATTTTAATGCCATAGCATTTCTTCACAGGACACTCCTGGACTCTCATTCCTGAAGTAATTTTGTATTCGTTTTCTTAAACCATTTAGGACCCAGGAGAATGTTATCATTAGTAGTCAATATATTAGGTGTCCTAGATAAGATTTTGATTGTAGCATAAATGATTTCTAATATGGTAATCCAATTACCTTGATCATTTAAAAATATTGTACTTAGAAATGCCCTAAAATATTGCCATATGGATGCAGTAAGTTTCAAACTTTCCTTTATTTTGATCTTTCAGATTGCATTTTCACAACACAATACAATCATGGATCTTGTGCAGTTTTTTGTCACCTTCTTCAGGTAATTTGCTTTTATTGACTTTGAATTTGGTAAACCTGTATTTTGATATTTGTTCTATCAACCTGTTAGGTAATTCATCAAATTTTTAACCTTAAAATACCATACAGTGTTATATGTGATATTTATATCATCTATATTATGAATGTATATATCCATACAGATCATGAATACTTTTACATGCTTAAATATATACTGCAGAGCAGAGGACACCTATTTGAAATATACTTTTGCAAGGTTATTTTGCTGTTGTACTATTTGTTAATGGATTTAGTGGAATGAGAATAACTTCATGTTCCCCTGTCACATAAGTAATTAAACTCTGTTCAAATCTGTGAGGGATAAGAACAAACATGTATTTATGTTCTCAAGGAGTTTGTCATCTAGAAGGACAAAATATGACTGAATGGAGCATCATTCCCATAAAAAATGGTTTCATAATTAAACAGCTTTGGAAAGTGTGTATACTGAAGTTAACCAGGCACCTTAATTTGTTTTTAACTGACATCACTTGTCCAAGTTTCTGATATGTTCATTTGCAATGGGTTTTTTTTCAAAGAGAGGGCGGAGCTGGAAGTGTTTCTCAAAACATGAAAACTCTCGTCCAGGAACATTTCCTTTCCTTTCCACGGGCAACGCATAAAGCAGTGCTGGCCTGGGAGAAGCAGCTCAGGTTCAGTGTCACGGCATCTTAGAGCACCTGGATTGGAAGGGATGTCAGTTTGGTTGACACGGTTACGCTGTGTACAGCTTATGCAGGTCCCTTGGGTGCCTTTGTGCCAATTAAACAAATGCACCTCCTTCTCCTGGCAGACACAGTCCCCATCACAGCACACAACTTTATATAAAGCAGTGTGAACTTTGACCTTCGCTCACCAAGTTGGCTGTATCACCTTGTACAGTAATCAACCTTCTCCACCCAACACATGATATGCCAAGCACTTTCCTAAACACCAAAGTAGCCTCTACTGGTGATCTTGTCCAGACACCTGTACAATACTTGAATTTCTAATGCCTTCCCCGCAGAGGTCAGCACCCATTTTTCGTGATGGGCCAGATAGTACCTATTTCAGGACTCAAGGGCTCTATGGTTTCTACCACGCATATGCAGCTTGAAGCTGCAGTGCTAAAGCCGCCCCAGCCAGTGTAGAAACCAACGGGCGTGGCCGTGTTCCAATAAAGCTTTATTATAAAAACAGCTGGCGGGCCGGATACTGCCTATGGCGGAATTTGCCCAGCTTCTGATCTCACGCTGCCTGAATGGCTTTAAGGACAGGAAATGCACCATCTCCTGAGGTGGCACTTTCTACCTTCACAAAGCTAATTTTTCTTCATGAGGAGCTGAAATCTGTGTCCCTACAATCTCTCTTTTAATTTATCCATATGGGCCCATACAGAGAGAGTCTAGTCTCTTGTCGTCATGAACAGCCCTTCAGTTTTCTACACTTGTTTCTCAAATTTGCAAGTTCCCAGCTTATTAATCCATGTCTGTTGTCTACCCCTTTGCTACGGTGGTCGCTTTCCTCTGAGAGCAACCGTGTTCGTCTGCGTCCCTACAAAAGTTGTAATTTCTGGAATTTAATGCTATAAACATTTATCTCTAACATGTGTGCAGGTTTCATTTGTGCTTTAAATTTGTCCCTTAAAAGTGAAATTTGAGGAAACATCTTAAATACTATTAATGTTTTATGACTTTGTACTTCTGAATATAAATGGATTTTAAGGCCATTAAGTACATTATTATATGTTTTGGGAAAGTATGAGAAGATAAAATCAAATGAGCCTTATTTAATGCATCAAAATAAAACTGTTTAATGCAGAACAGTGTGGATGGATATATACTAAAAAGTTCAGCTGTGTGAAAATTCACAATGCTGAATATATATGTAAACTATTTAAATATTTAAGGTTATAGTTGAACTTTTGAATCTGTGCGCATACTTAAGTTTGATAGTTCTTTCATTAAATAAAAAGGAAGCTGATGTGTACCACATCTTAGAGATGGTCTCGTTTATTATGTTGTCACCATGAACAAAGTGGGAAAATTTTAGTCGTCATGTGAGGTAAAATGTATTTGGTGTTTTGGTTTTTTTGTCTGTCTTTTGAATCTCTTTCAGTATTGAAATGTAAATTAGTATTAAAATTGCCTTACTGTGAAGAAAAACATGGACAGAACATTTTGGAGTTCGTTTGTTTTTCTTAAATAAGGCCACTGATAAATCTTATATATTTATTTTAACTTAATGGTTTTAGAGAGGTAGAAAGGGGGTAGAGAGAGAGTAAGAGAGACATTGACTTGTTGTTCCACTTATTTATGCACTCATTGGTTGATTCTTGTATATGCCCCGACTGTGGATTGAACCAGCAACCTTGGCGTGTTGGGAGAACAATGCTCTAACCAATTGAGCTACCTGGCCAGGGCCCGATAAATTTTAAAAGAGAGTTTCAATCAGGCCACCATTACTGTGATTGCCTTTTCTAACCAAGTTATTTAAGTAGCGGAGGTAAATGCATCCGCTTTTTGGTTCTGCCACGGTCCCATGGAAGCTACTTCACAAACTCTTTCTGCTTTTTTAACTCCACATATTGGGCCTAGTTCTGGTGGTCACATAATTAGGCCAGTGTCAGGGAGATTGTTCATAGACACAGCCCGGCTGTGTTCTCAGCTTTCTAAACCATCACCTAACATCTCTATGTGTCAGTCCTCTCCTATGGAGAACGAAAGAATTTTATTGTTGTGAATTTTATTTGGTTGTTACTTGTTAGAGTCTGTGATATAATAGGGTAAATGATTAGAAAACTAAAAAAAGTTATTTTAAAAATAAGTTCCTTTTTCTGGTGTGCAAAAGAGAGAAGTAAATCTGCGTGAATCTGAAGAGTCTGAATTATTTATTTTAAGAGAAGTTAAGGCTGGTACATTAAATGGAGAGGTAGTAGGGACCATTGCCCCTGAACCTTTTAGGTTTGTAATGGTGGTAGTAGTTTTCACTAGCCACAATGACGTAATGGGGTGATGTAATGTTTTTGATTTGCCAGCTTGACCAGAAGGAGGGTAGTTCAGAGGTTGCCGCCTGGTCTTTCCCACTAGGGTAGGTCTTACCAGACAGGCCAGAGATACAGTATGTGGGTTATTGTAACTAACTTGAACATAAATTCTAGTTATACACTTGAGAACCAGGTAAGTTATCACCAGGTACATCCATAGACCCTGTCGGCATGCCATGAGCCAGAATTTGCCAGAATCTGTTACCTGGTCCCAGAAGACACCCTAGCTCTTTCAAAGTGCTGTGATGCCACTTTAGTCCTTGGGTGTCTGTGACATCTGCAACCCTGTGTCTAATAGTAACCAAGCCATCTACTTATTCCTCTTGCACTGTGTACACCCATGTATGTAGCCGTATATGTGCCCCAATATGCACAGGCCCCTTTGTACAGAAATCATACACGGGTCCCTTTGGGGATCGTTTTACACACTCTCAAAGATGTTTCATGATGTCCTTCCTTCTGTGGACCCAGACACCTGTTCAGTCAGTGGTTTCTGGATTTGTAAATTAGCTCATCCTGGGACTGAGCAGAAGATCATGATTTTTTATTGAATTCATTGGGGTACATTGTGCTACGTGAAATAAGCCAGTCAGAGAAAGACAAGTACCATGTGATTCCACTCATACGTGGTATCTAATGAACAAAATAAAGTAGAAACAGACTCATAGATAGAGGATCATGATTTTCTACTGGGGAAACCACCCTCAGCCCCGTGTTTCTTCATTCTCAGTTAAAATAAAACTAAATGTGCCTACCTATCGCGCCCCTCGGGACACCTTGCATTTTTAATAATCTCCGCAGCTCCATCCCAGCATATTCTCTCTGTCGGCTTCTTTTTTCTGTTCTCTCCCTTGTGCTCGGGCAACTCAGGTATTTCCGTTTCACTTTGCATTGCCCACTGCTTTTTTCCAGGCTCCTGAGAGTCACTCCAGCAACAGGCGCGCCTATCCCCTGGGGTCCTCATTAGGGCATTGCATTTCCTGTGGTTCTGAGAATACACGCCAGTAGTCATGAATTTTTGCTTAACCAGTCTTACATTCCTTCCACCTTGATCAAATTCCACCAACATGCAATTGTGGTCATACTCCTCTGGCTCCTGCTAGCCCGTGCTAGCTAATTCTTGCAGCTCTTTTAGTAGGTCATTTCTTCCCATTCTTATCAGGCCAATATAGATTGTGCTGGTTTAATTATAGTTGTTATCAGTCAGGCAAACAACAGAGGAGGTAGTCTCAGCTTGTTACAGGAGCTTCTGTTGGCTCTGTTACTAGAGAGGGGAGTTGTAGAACCAGCCTCCTCAGAAGCATCCATCTAGATATTCCATTCTAGACATTCCTGTCCCATATTTCAAGGGCTCAGGTTTCAGAGAACTGCTTTGCCTGAGCGTCTGTCATCTTTGGAAGTTGAGTGAAAGAGTGGATCTAGCAGTTAGATCGTTAGCCTGATGCTCATGCTTATTGGCTCTTCCACCATCAGAGATAAGGGCCTCATTTGGAGCTCTAAAGGTTACCCTCTAGGTAATGTTGACCACGTCCTCCAGTCTCTCACTATCCCTCCACAGGTAGTAACACAGCAATAATCAGACAACTCTCTGAAGGTGTTTCCCCCAGGTTACCACTGGCGAAATCTCTGAGCGCCTGAAGCCTTCCCCCAGCTCCCTCTGCATCTGTGCCCTACTTACCAACATGGATGGTTTCCTGTTAGCCTGCCAAGTAATGAGTGAGCCGGCTCCCAGTCCCCATTTTACCTCCTGATTTCCCAGACGGCAAGTCGTCAGAGAACCAGACACCGAAATGGGATTAGACGTGCAATAAATGTATCAGGGGAAACTCCTTTAAAGGGAAGAGCAAGGGAGAAGGAGGGGGACCTTGTAGACCACAACCTTGATCTGACTTTTGTAAAATAGAGTAGGAAGAAAGGGAAGTTAAGTGAAAAAGCTTGCAATTGCAGGGCAGGTCTAA